CTGCGCAGCCCTGCCCAGAAAAGAAAAGACAAAAAATATGGGCCTTGATGATGACCAAGAAGAGCAGACAGACAACAAAAGGAGAAAGTCTTTGGTTTGTCTGTGACAAGGACAAAGACAGGACGGTTTCATGTCTCATGGCCACGGTCACTGGTAGTCTACATGCACACAATAAAAAAACACTACCTCACAGCATTATTGCATGGGTTAGACTCATTCACACAAGTCAGCAGTCTAAATAATATCCATCATTATAAAGTCATGATCTGCAGGCAAGCATTACTCAAACCCACAGGACTTTATTTTAAATTGTAGTCAACATCTTAAAGTTTCCATTGATACCAAAAACACAACACTGAATTACACAAGACATCTACAATTCCCATTTACAGTAATGGTGCAGCAATAAAAACATCTGCATTCTGGATAAGAGTGTAAGGTACTGTGGTCTGAAATGTTTTGATTCTACCGCTACTACTGACACTACTATGATAGTTGATAGGGGTGGGAATCACCAGAGGCTCCACGATACGATATTATCACAATATTTATGTTGCAATTTATTACCTTATTCCAACTTCCAATTAGGTCCCTAAAATCAAACTTTGTCAACATCTGTTTATCAAAAAAGATACACTACTCTGTTTGTTCATATCACTTTTTCAGTCCTCTACATGGTCCTGTTAAGTTTTCTAGTGGACTAAAAAAGCAGATTTTATTATTCTAGTACCAAAAAGTTAAAACTCCCATCTGCAATTTATATAATAAAATATCGATACTTGGCGTCCGTGTATCGATACAGTATTGCCATGGCAAATATCACGATACTACGCTGTATCGATTTTTTACCCCACCCCTAATAGTTGTTAGAGTCTCTGTCCCCATTCCAAAACAATACTTCTCTAATACCTTAGTTTGAGAAATGTAAACGAAATCATTTAACAATTAACAGTCATTTAACAAAAGAAGCCAAAGTCAAATGCTGTCTAAATACAAGAACTTGCCAAAGTAAAATAGAAATAATGACCAAACTACTAAGAAGTATTTAAGTTCAATGCCCAGCCCTGCGCAGTGCAAATGTGATATAGTCTAAATAAAGTGACTGTGGAGTCAATGCATTTGCAGGTCACTGTTTCCACTTGACAAAATCGTGAGTAGGCTGGGTTACTTGCCCTGATTGTAAGAGGTAGCTGGATTTACTTGGAGAGCAGAGGATTACAGCAGACCAGGTCAAGGAAACAGTACTGCAGGCCAAAGTCTGAGAGGCTGAGACTCCAGCCTAGATTGGAGAGCTGCCAAAAGGTGCTTTGTAGATCACCAAGGGTAGGTTTGTGATGTAACTGGGTGCATCCTACACCTGTGGAAATGCTTTTTTAAATTTTTTTTTTTAACATTTCCAATTTGGCAGACAGAGCACAGTAGATTAAAAGGAAGGATGCGGGATGACATGCGCCTAGGCTGGACAAGGCTGTGGCTACATACTCCACGCCCCTAATCACCTGAAACCGATGCACCTAATAATGTGTTATGTTATGTTACGTTAACATTCAAGCCACAGGCTGAGATTGTGTCAAGAGTAACACAAACACCGCCGTGCCGGAAAATAGCGCTCGACACTCAGGCTGATCCAGAGCAGAATGTGAAAGCAGCCTGCAGCAACTCGCAAAATTAATTAGAAACATTCTCTGATATTTAATTAATCCCTAATACAGATGAAACAACGGCAATCTGCAGCAAGACCTTGGCCAATCTGATATCTGATTATGATTGTAAGATAGCGGTGGTGCCAAAACACACATTTTGCTATCATTTAATTATGATTTAGGACCAGGGCTGGGACTATCTCCGCTTTGAACAAAAACACAGATAAATTCAACTGTAAAAGAACCAATAATTGTGTTCCTCAGAGTCTGGGACCGGTCACAGCTGGCCTGAACCGTCGAGCTAAATCCTTAGAACTGAATACAGCCTTGATGAGATTGTTCAGTCAATAGGCTTGAAGTGCCACCTAACCCAATAATGCGCTCAAAGCGACAAATAACATGCCTTTGTGGGACGGCAATCCACAGGAAAAAGCCCTGCGTGTCGTTCCAAGTGGCTGTGTAAACACGCTTCTAATACATCAGGCCAGAGAGCGGCTCAAGTGATGGGATGTGGAGATGTGGAGGAGCAGACACACTCACACCACAAACACACAAAAGGACCTGTGCTGCATGAATCCTTCAAAAAGCACAGATGACCGGAGTGTGCGGGCTGGGTTAAAGAAAAATAAAGTGACAGACGCACAGAGATAAAAATATAACACAAACAGAGCCTTTCCTGTGTGAGGCTTGACGGCTAAATTTGGATCAGAGGAAACTTTATCTTTACTTTATGATCCCCCTGAGAAGACTTGGCACATGGTACACATAAGATGGTAAGCACACACTATTATTCCTACTTACTGTGTGCTGCAGTGTTGACATGTTTATTTTCCATGAGGAACAATGATCTGGCAATTAGGGCTGCAAATAACGATTATTTTCATTGTTGATGAGTCTGGCTTGTGTTGTTGATTAACTGATTTATTGGCTAATGTCAGAAAACATAAAAAAAAATGCCCATCACAAACTCCGAGAGACTCACATGGCTTGTTTTGTCCATCAAACTGTCTAAAACCCAAAGATATTCAGTTAACAGAGATATAAAACAGGGAAAAGCAGCAAACCCTCATATTTGCTGAAAGCAGCTATTTTGTGGGGCATTTTTTGCTTGATAAATGACTCAAATTCTTAGTTTATAATCAAAATGGTGTGACCAGCCAATTAATCAACTAATCTTTTCAGCACTAATCTATGTGTACTATTGTAAAACTTGTCAACAAAGTCACAAAGTTCGGTTAAGTTTTAGCTCTCACCTTCTTGCCCGTGGAGCCAGTCTTGGAGAGGCAGGACTTTGCAAGGGAAAGGTACCCGCCGACGACCTCAATCTCCTCCACAGCGGGGTAGCGTTTCTTCAGCAGGGTGCCCAGCTGAGCGTACGGGGCCTGTGGGGGTGTAGACCCCGGTGGAGTCTCACTTGAGGCTTCCTGCTGGGGCTCAGGTGAGCTCGGCTGGGCCTCGGGCTCCCGCCTTCGTGAAGGCACCACAGTGAAGGTGTTCCCCTTTCTCCTCGGCGCCATGGGGCTGGGAGCAGGGACACGCTGCGGGGGCTCGACTTCAATGTCATCTATGTTTGTTACAGGCAAATGATCCACGGAAGGTTGTTCTGGAGCTGGGGAGGGGGTTGAAGAGACAGGAGAAGGGGCAGGCGAGTCTGAGGGAGCCGGAGAGAAGGAAGGTGAAGATGGGAAAGCCGGAGAAGAGGGGGGTGAAGACAGAGCAGGTGGAGAAGAGGGACCTGCGGTTAGAGTAGGAGATGGAGACACAGGTTCTGGGGTTGGAGGAAGAGCAGGACTGGTGGCAACAGAAGGTGACGGTTCAGGCTTGGATGTCCTCCCCAGCCTCTCGACGTCCCTCTCCTCATTCCTCTTGGAGGGTGTCAGACTGGGTACAGGGGCATCGGAGGCTGGCACTCCTGGCGGGGGAACCTCTGCCACTCTACGGGAGGGAGAGGACTTGACGGGACTGGACAGTACTGTGCTGCCTGCTGCAGATGAGGCAGCAAGATGCCGCTTGGGGATCACCGTGAAGGAGTTTCGGGACTGCAGCCGCAAGTTTGCGAGGGCCCGTGCCTGGGTGTCCCCATCAGGAATTCGGGCGAGGTCTGGCTTTGTGGAGGGGCGGATCTCAAAGTCAGGTGAGGAGCGCGACACCTTGGATGAGATGGGGCTTGAGGGGGACTCGGCACGGGCACGCAGGATCTCCGGAGAGCATGGCACCTTGGGTTTGAGTGGCACCTCGACGCCCTCCCAGTCTCTCTCTCTGGTGGGCTTGGATTGCACCCTGTCTGGCTCCTCTCTGGGGGTGACAGCTGTCCCACAGCCTCCACTCTCCTCAAACCGCTGACGGAAGGAAGACACAGACTGAGGGGGTCCGGTGGTGCGCTGGGGGCTGCCTTGCTCAGAGACAGCAGGCTGTGGCTTTGGTTTGGAAGACCAGGGACTCTGGAAGACAGGTGACGATGGCTGGCTACTGCCCAGGGTGCTGACGGACGGGCCTGGCCTGGGCTTTGGCACCAGATCTGGCTGTGGCTTGGACCAGAGTCTTGGCCTGCTACTGGCACTACAATCCAGGTCCAGCAGGTTCTCTGTGCTGTGAGACTTCTTCTGCAGCTTCCCGTAGTTGCTGTCAAACTTCTGCAGCATCCGGCTAACCCTGCCTTGACCCTCACCTGTCTCATATGATAGGATGTCATGATCAGGGCGGCCCAGGGTGCTCAAGTTCTCCTCACTCTTGCTTAACGTGGTGTCATAAATTACCACTTCCTTGGCTCTTATCTCAGTGACAGCACTCCCTCTCCGGTCCAGGAGGTCGTTCAGAGAGCTATAACTACTGACACCGTTTTGTTGCCATTTGGAACCGGTCTGTACTCCTCCCGCTTCCGGAAAGTAATCCGGATCCGACTCAATTATGATAATATTCTCCGCGCGGATGGTCCGTATACCGGGCACACTGCCGTACAGCTCCAGGATGTGCTGGACCGGTCGTGCGGTGTTTTCTCGGTCCTGTCGCCTCCGCCGCTCCTTCTCCAGCTTGATGAACGGGTTCTCCTCCAGCGGGCCGAGGCTTTCCTGGAGCACCAGGCTCTCCTTCCTCTCCGCGGCCGTCGGTCGTGGCTCTTTGTTGTTGGCGAAGTGCTGGCTGGCTGTGCTGATGGTATAGTTCCGCCCGGACCCGCCGCTCGCTCCGCTGTCATTCGTGGGTCCGCTGCTGCCGCTGCCGTTCACATTTCCCGTCAATTCGCCGTTAACCCGCTGCGGGCCCGCACCGCCGGGGCTTGTTTCCGCGGAACCAGCTCCTCCAGACCCGCCGCCCTTCGCTTTCCTCCTCTCCAGGATCTCTCGCTTCCAGGCCGGCATCCTCGGGCTCTCTTGCCCGGCCTCTTGGCGGAGGACGCGCACCTCTCCTCCGCCAGACATTGCGGAGGGCTGTTCGGAGGGGATGAAGAGGTGAGAGGCAGGCTCCGAGGCGGTTTTGCCGCGGTCCGGTGCGGCTCTAAAACCTGTATCCGGCTCTGACTGTACCTGCAGAACCGATCACCGCACACTCACACACATCCTCACCGTCTCTTTTTTTCTCTCTCTCTCCTCTCCCTCTGCTCTCTCCACACAGCCCCTGAACGCGGCCCCGCCCCTCCGCAGCAGCACGAGCGGCTTCAGCGGTCCCATCCGCTTCTTGATTGGTCGTTATGGTTTACAGACACGCCCCCTCCTACTGTGTAGACTGCCGCACATTGACGCAAACCCCTCCCGTTTCTATTGTTGACTGGGTAAGGAAGGGATGTCAATCAAAAGTGTTGCGTTCAGGTTCAACCCGCCCCTCCCTTTTTTGTTTACTAAAATTAAAGCTATCAGTGGATGGGTTTTCTATTGAGTGATTAAATATACATTTGGTAAGTATTGTTTGCACCCATACTGCTCCATTTAATGTTTAATTATCAGAAATACGAATTATTTAAAAGCTAAACCAACAATATTCGTCTGCCATAATAGCAGCCTACTATTATTATTGCAAAAATCCTGTTAAAACTTAATGTATCTTTATTGTATATTGCGTACTGAATAGTGACCTCTTTGTGCTTATTTTTTTCTTTAGTACCTTTGGTTTCCCAATAATGTTCCAAATTTATTGTTGTTCATGGTATTTTTTTTGTATAGTTTTCATTTCCAACCTGCATCAAGCATCACAGGAACCATGTTGCAGTCTGGGGACACTGAAGCCCTAGGTTGTTCTTGTTCGAGTATGCTAAGTAGGAAATATCCAGTGCCAGAGGGAGGCAGACGACAATGTTCATTCAGCATTGACCGGTGATGCCACCTGTCGATAATCCGGCAGCAGCTGAGATGTAGCCTGCTGCACATGAATCAGCACTAAGAGGGCTATTCTTGGGTACTACAAGAGATTACTGTACCTCGTCAAATATTTATCACCGAACCACAATTAAGAGTATCAAGACTGAGGTGCACGGAGGAATAAAATGATCAAATGCATAAAAGAAATAGGTCTAAACGTCCCTCTGCCTGATCTTCAAAGTTGGTTTGAAAGAAATTAAAGCACAGCTGGTCCAACTACGAACGCAGACGTCACGTCCCAGGTGATATTTCTGGGAATCTGAGTGGTGTCAAAAGGAGTTTTCAGACTATCACAGACACATTTCTTCTCATTTGATTCTGATATTTATTTGATCTCGACTATAAAAGTGTAACGTTTTAATCTGACATTACACGGACAAAACATTAAATTGATGGCTTAAAATCACTGAACATGTCTACATGCAGTTTTAATGCGGGCCATCTTAGACAAAGCCCTGTGTGACTTTGTATGTTAACTGATTGTTACAGCGCGTTGATTTACTGTATTTCAGACGCAGGTATGATTTGGTGAATGACGTACCGGCTATGTACATGTGCTAACAAAGATAAATATCAATATACCACGCCCATATAAAAACACCAATAGCGCCTCCTTGTGGCCAGGGAGACCAGGTAACAGATTTCTCTACCTAGACGAACCACTTCACTTACATATTCATCAGACAACATTGGTTAAATGTTGATGGTTTATTTACATGTATATACAGATGATATAAGGGTGACAATAACAAGAACATAAATAAGATTTGGCGAATTTCTCTCCAAAACCAACATATTACACAGAAATTCACACTGAGAATTACCTTAAAATGAGGCCTTAAATACATGCAGCACATACACAAGGTAGGAGCAAACAACAAATCAAATACATTACATATTGTACAAATAAACAGCAATGTCCAGGGAAGACATGTGCACACAATTGACTGCTCGTGGAAATCACATTCAGTTCTTCTACACTGGGGGTAAGAAAGTGAGCCGACAGCAAGTTTCAGAACCAGCTTCTTGCCGTTCAGACCATTTTCACTGATGGAATTACCAAGCTAGGCAACTTTGGGGGGTGAAAATGTGTGAGCAACACTCCCAGCAGAAGGAAAAAGTGAGACACAAGATAATAAACCTAACCAAGAGTGTGCCCAAAGCAATGTCTTCCGCTTGGAAAAAGCAACAAAGCTGCAGCAATTCCTTGAACTCCTTGAACCTGGGACAGTTGCCCAAAAGAGGTGCTTGGGGCATTACAGCTTTTCGGTTTCACCAGTTTATTAAATTTGTGTACACGTGTGCATTAAAACATAACTCTGGTATAAATTTCCTCATGGCTCATTGTCTACCATTGATTGGACAATGTTAAAGGCACACCATGTCCCAGACACACATTTACTGATCTGACTATGCATTCCTAAAAGTCTAAAAAAAAAAAAATAATCAAAAAATACTTAGAGCCATAATCCATCCGGATTAAAAGGAGACAAGCCACTGGCATTCGTTGTCTAGGTATAATTTACTTCCATTCAGTCTTCGGAATCAACACAAGGTTCAACGAAACAATAGTTACCGTTAAGTATTTTTACACTACATGGCAAAAATAATGTAGTCACCCTGTTATTCTCAGATTATTGTTATCATTCCAAACCCGTACTGCTATAAGAGCCTCCACTCTTCTAGAGAGGCTTTCCGTAACATTTTAAAACCTAGCTGCAGGGGTTTGCTCCAACACTGATGTTGGGTGATAATGCCTGGCTCAGTCTCCATTCCAGTTCACCCCTCAGGGCTCTGTGCAGGCCAATCGAGTTCTTCTACACTAAACTGGAAGAACCATTTCTTTATGGACCTGGCTTTGTGCAGGAGAGCACTGCCACCTCCAAACAGGAAAGGGCATTTACCCAGACTGTTGCCACAAAGTTGGAAGCACACTATTGTCTAAAATATAACTGTGTGCTGTAGCAGTAAGATCTCCCTTCACTGGAACCAAGGGGTCCAAACCAGGACACAAATATAAATGATAGGGGAGTCAACATACTTTGTGTATAAAGTGTATTTTAGCATTTAGCAACACAGAGTAGACAGTCCACTTTCATTTTTGTAAATACTGCATTGAAACTTAGTAAGCAGTAAAAATTTGTGTTCGTTTTGAAGTTTTTGTAAACACAAATAATAGAAAACTGGATTCTGATGAGACCTGGAACACGTGTTTGAAAACGCACAATTGCTTTTTTTGTAAATAAAAAGAAAGTGGCCATGAGCCAAAAGAATAATTACACCACTGTTATGCTTTAAATCTCTGATGGCAAACAAGGAGTTCTCTCCTTTCCTGTGATCGCTGTGTGCGACTGCCTCTCCTCAGTTGACACGACACGCTCGTATCATCAGCAGCTGCAGCAGGATGAACAGCGGGGACACGATGAGGCCGAACCACAGGTCCCTCGCTTGCTCCTGCTCCGCCAGCTTCTGGCACAGCAGCACCTCGCACACCAGCTTCAGGCTGAGCACTGTCAGCACCCACAGGAGCCGCAGCACCGCAAGACGCTTCTCATTCTCCTGGTAAAGACGGATGGACACGATGGCAGTGAAGTAGGTGCTGAGGCCGTCGGCAGCAAACAGCGGGACGAACACTAGCCACCAGCTCAGCGTAGGGGTGAACATGTCAGCTCGCAGAGCAACCAGCATGCTGAAGACCAGCAAAGCTAGCAGGTGGAGGAAGAGTTCAAAGGTGGCAAAGCCCAGCCACTGGACCAGTTCCCTCAGGGAGAACAGCATAGCTGGGGACAGCAGTGTCTCCAACCAGGGACGGACTGACTGAGGATGGCCTGGTTAGGTGTGAAAGTGCTCCAGAGTTTGGGGTTTCTGATTATGCCTGGGCAGGAATGGTGAGGTACCACAGAGATGACCCACTTCACTCTTGGCTACATCTTCAGATCCACCCTGAGGAGGACGATCGGTCTCAGCCTCTGAGGAAACCCTGTATGATAAAGAAAACAGGACATTAGAACAGAGGATCCATTGTGCTTCACCTGACAAAACTGATAAAGAAAGCAATGGTGCATGAACCCACAAACGGTCTGTACCTTAAAGTAGAAAGGGCCAAAATCTATTTAAGCACCTCACTAAATTAGTAAACAGCTAGTGACGACATGCAGTGATTTCAGCATTTCTCTCATCATTTCATCACATTGTCAGTTCAATATTAAGCCTTAATAACCACAGATAGATACCGGCTGATACAGACTGAGTTCAATATGACACATCGTGTAATATTATTAACATTAACAGGTCGAGTCGAGCTACAATGAACGTATCTCGCTGATAAGAGACTGTATTGGCCGAGCCTTGTGCTACAATGTAAGCTAACCACAGACAGTCAGAGACGGTATAGGCCATCTAACTACCAACACAACGCATGTATAAGTATGCAGAAAATAGTTTTTACTGTGACCACACATTACTGTACCTTAACAAGAGTCACGCGTTTTCTCCTCCATCTAGCTGGATGCAAAAGTGTCAGCACACAAGGCTAACAAGCCGTTAGCATCGTAGCTTAGGCTTTTATTCTCACCTTCTGAGAAATCTCGCGAGAAGAGCAAAACCGGGTTCTTCTTCTTCCTCCTGTGCTTTATTGGCGGTTGGCAAACAATGAATGCGTGCATTACCGCCACCACCTGGTCAGGAGTGCGGCTCAATATCATCAGTGTCGGGGAAGTGACTTCCAAAATGTAATACATTATAGATTACTAGTTAGTCTTAGTAATGCTTTGCGTTACTTTCACTGCTATTTAATGGGCGCATTATTCAGATAGTAGGCTAAGATGTACAGCATGGGTGGGTGCTTGATGTGCAGGCGTATATCCGCGGATTGGGTGGGTCTTTGTCATAAAAATTTAATTAAAACTTAACCGTCTGCTAAATAGCGGGGTGGTGGTGTGGGGTTGGAGGGGTGAAATAGGATGAATCGTCTCCTCACAAAGAAAGACCCTGTACGCATTTACGCACGAGGTAGGCTACAGCAGCATAACGTCATTGATCATTTGAATCTCCCGACACTCCGGTAGGATCGGTCAGGATGAACTGACAGCAGCCTCTCTGATCTGAAGTAATTCATTAAATCACAAACACATTGCCTATAGAAATCTATTTACATGTAGAACGCATTGTTTTTAGTAATGCGTTATATTACTGCGTTACAGAGAGAAAAAGCAATACTGTATTTACTATCATATCCTCTCAATCATATTAATTAGTCTAAGATACTAAAATAGGATTCGATAACAACCTAATATTTTTACAGAATATAGCCTATGACTAATCTGCTGCCGTCTTTCTTCCTCATATTTATATATTTTTAAACCTTTTAATAAACTCCATTAATAACTAGACAATATCATTTTTTAGACATCTAGGCTACTTGTTGCAAACTGAGGTAGGCTCTTTTAAGGTAATAGTGTGTCTGCTAGCAGAGATGTAATCACTATACTGCAAATAGGCCTACTGTTACACTGAGTCAAAGCAAGCTGCTGCTTTTAAATCATATGATGAGCTAAATATTTAGCATTTTAATTTATATCATACCCTTTTTGCTATAAAATGAAATTGCAATTAGCAATGTTGCTTTATTGGATTGAACATACTGTACCTTCATAAAATATAAACCTGATTTCAATCAGGCCATCCAGCAGATTACCTGGTGTTTCTTTCTCTCAAACTTGAAGGATTATTTAAATGAATTAAAGAAATATAAATTTAAATACATATATTAAAACAAGTGCTCTTTACATGTTACTAATTTCCTAATAACACACTAAGGATAAAGGGAATGATCTGCATCAATATAGTATTAAAGTTCCGTCTGTAATATTTAGGAGAATCTAATGACAGAAATGCAATATACGAAGATCCATAACTATGTTTTCAATAATGTATAAAACCTTACATAATGAACCATTATGTTTTATTAGCTTAGAATGAGCCATTTCTATCTACATACAGCATGGGTCACCTTTTTATATACAATGGTCTTGGGATAAGACAAGGTTGTCCCACTTAGCCCCTTTCTGTTCCTTCGCTTGTCACACAAATTATGGCCGTACACATGAAAAAATGAGGATTTTTCTACGATTTCAGGCTTAGAAATGAACTTGAACAAATCTGTCTTATTACCACTTAAGGAATGAGTCCAACAACGGTATCTCTGTGAAGAACACAGTTACATACCTGGGTGTAGTCATGGATAAGAATGAGAAACTCCATAGTAACCTAAACTTCAGCCCTATAATTGAACAAATAAAGAGAAGATTTGACATTTTGTTGATAAGGGATCTTTCTCTGAACAGTAGAGTTCTCTTATCTAAAGAAGAGGGAATTTTCAGATCTGTCTATGTATCCTTATCACTGGAAATGCCCACTGAAATATACGAGAAAAAAAAAAAGATAAAATCCTATTTAATTTCATATGGAGGAATAAATGTCATTATTTAAAGAAAGATATGTGACAAAAAGAAATGGAGGTCTGGAGATCTGAAGTTTTGAAACATTAAACAGTACTTTCAAAGTTAAATGGCTGACTAAGTTAATTAAAGAAAAAGATAATATTTGTAACACCTTCCCTAAAACTATATCTAA